CAACAAAAACTCCCCCACACACATTTCCGAAGGCTGTAGAAAGTGAGTGAATGTAAAAAGAGACTGGGTAATTATGCAGGCACACAGAGCATGGGCGGATTTCCCTTTGTTACCACTTTTTCGAAAATAAAATGAGTAGTTCTTGAGGGGAACTAAATTTTTGGAAAAAAATTTCCAAAGCTTCTCAAAAAAAACCCAATGCCATACATTTCTATTTAACCTGCTTTTATCAAACAGGAGCCAAAAAAACTGAATTCCGAGAGCTTTCGTAAGAAATGAATGTGGTTACAAATACCTGAGCTTTGTAATCGAAAAAAAACTGCCCTAAGATCTCTATTTAAAACTTATTCTGCTTTGCCTTACGCTGCCCTGGCTTGCCCAATGCTGCCCTACCTTGCCTTGCCGGGTTGCGCTACTCTGCCTTGCGCCATCCCGTCTTATTTTGCTATATTACACCTTGCTTTGCGCTGCCCTGGTATGCTGCTTCTCCTTCCCGGCGCTGGGATGCTCTACTTCGCCTTACCTTGCGCTGCCCTGCCTTGTTCTGCAATGCGCAGCTCTGCCTTGCTTCGCGGTGCCCTGCCAAGCTCGTTGCACTGCGCTGCCCTACGTGGCCGTGTTCTGTGCTGCCCCAGTTTGTCTTGTGCTACCTTGTACTTGGCTGCTCTGCTCAACATGCCTTACTCTGCTCATCAACCTGCCCTGCCTTGCCCCTCCTTCCACTGATTTGCTTTGCCCTACCTTGCGCTTCGCTGCCTTTCCCTGTCATGACTTGCGCTGCCCTGCCTTGCGCTTCTCTGCCATACTTTTTGTACCCTGCTTTGTTTTGCGCTTCGCTGTTTTGCTTTGAGCTGCCATACTCTTCTTTGCCTTGTCCTGCTTTGCCCCTCCTTCCGCTACCCTGCACAGCCTTGTCTTGGGCCGCTCGGTTTTGCCTTTCCTTGCCTTGGACTACCATTATCATTCCGTGCCATGCGCTACCTTGCATATAAATGCCCTGTCATGCTCCTCTTTGCCTTGCTCTGCCACTCCCCTCCTTGCCTTGCTTTGCGCTGCCTTCCCTGCATATTTTCTTTGCCCAGTCCCTTTGTACCTTATGCTGCCCTGCCCCTACTTGCCTTGCGTTGCCCTTCCCCTTTTTGCCTTGCGCTACCCTGCCCCTCCTTGCCTTGCGCTGCCCTGCCCCTGCTTGCTCTGCCTTGTTCTGCAATGCGCAGCTCTGCCTTGCTTCGCGGTGCCCTGCCAAGCTCGTTGCACTGCGCTGCCCTACGTGGCCGTGTTCTGTGCTGCCCCAGTTTGTCTTGTGCTACCTTGTACTTGGCTGCTCTGCTCAACATGCCTTACTCTGCTCATCAACCTGCCCTGCCTTGCCCCTCCTTCCACTGATTTGCTTTGCCCTACCTTGCGCTTCGCTGCCTTTCCCTGTCATGACTTGCGCTGCCCGGCCTTGCGCTTCTCTGCCTTACTTTTTGTACCCTGCTTTGTTTTGCGCTTCGCTATTTTGCTTTGAGCTGCCATACTCTTCTTTGCCTTGTCCTGCTTTGCCCCTCCTTCCGCTACCCTGCACAGCCTTGTCTTGGGCCGCTCGGTTTTGCCTTTCCTTGCCTTGGACTACCATTATCATTCCGTGCCTTGCGCTACCTTGCATTGAAATGCCCTGTCATGCTCCTCTTTGCCTTGCGCTGCCACTCCCCTCCTTGCCTTGCTTTGCGCTGCCTTCCCTGCATATTTTCTTTGCCCAGTCCCTTTGTACCTTACGCTGCCCTGCCCCTACTTGCCTTGCGTTGCCCTTCCCCTTTTTGCCTTGCGCTACCCTGCCCCTCCTTGCCTTGCGCTGCCCTGCCCCTGCTTGCCTTGCGTTGATCTGCCCCTCCTTGCCTTGCGTTGCTCAACCCCTCCTTGCCTTGCGCCAGCCTGCCTTACGCTTACGCTTTCCCGCCCTCCTTGCCTTGCGCTGCCCTGACCTGCGCTCAAAACTTCATAACAATTTGTCTAGACGTTTGATCTTGACCTTTCCTAGTTTGCTGTATCTTGAAAAACTAAGGTTTATTTTCGAATTGGTTTCTTAAACACTACGAGTGGTGAGCTATTAAACCTGGCGCCCATAAAAAATGAAAACGATTTACAATTAAATATAAGATGAAAAATTTTCAGTAGAAGGCCTCATGTTTCAGAGGCTATCGGGCGCAAGGCTTAAAAACGCTTAGATCAGAACGGTTAAAAATCATTCATAGGACCGCCGATTATTCTAAAGTCTGGAATTTTTGAGAATTTTTTTAAAAAGCAAATACGAAACTCTGTAAACAAAAACAATTTGATTGAACTTCATAACTAAACATTATCTGCCCACTTCGTCTCAAAAATGTTTGCGTTCCTATATTGAATTCAATCTAAGACCGATCAATTAAACAGCAATCTCCACGTTTTGAGAAACTATTTTTTAAGGAACGGATTCGGCCTTTGAATTAACTTAAAATACTTCAAAGTTTTAGGGCCTGAATAGCTTGCCTAGAAATGCTTGAAAACCGATTTGGTTTATGGAAAACTTTGAATTACTTCACAGGTTGAATAGCTCCCCTAAGTAAATCTTAACTTTTCATGAACCGATTCGGTCATTGAAATAACCTGAGAAAAAATTCAAAGGTTCAAAGCTTGAATAGCTTGCTTGCAAAATTTGAGATTTTTGCAAATTCATTCTTTTTTTGAAACAACTTAAAATATCTTAGAGTTTCAGTGCTTGAGGACTTGAATTTGGAAACTGCCATTTTTGCAAAAATTTTAGCTCGCTTCAGAAAACATGACTTTTTCGCGGACCAATTTGGTCTATAAAATAAATTGAACTATTTCAAATTTTCATATCTGGAATGTCTTTAATATAAATTTTTGTTAATCGATTTCGTTCCTGAAATAGCTTAACCGATTTGGTTTTAGAAACAACTTGACATTTGTTAAATTTGTAATTTAAACAGCTTGCTGCAGAAAAATTTGATTATTTTTGCAATTCGATTCGTTTTTCAAATTAACATGAAATAATTTTAGGTTTTTATCGATTGAATGGCTTCAATCGAATAACTTTAAATTTCGGCATCTGATTTGTTTGTTTCAAAGTTTGTTAGTTTGAGTAGCTTTTTTAGAAAAATTTGAGTTTTTTGCCATCCAATTATTTTTTGACAACATCCTGAAATAATTTCAAGTTTAAAAGCTTGACTGGATTGCTTTGAATTTAACAAACCAAAACATCTTGAATCATTTTATTTTTCCATTCTTTTATCCACTTGCTGAAGAGAAACGACTCGCTCTTTGAAATAGCTTGAAAAAGTTTTAAAGGTTCATTGCTTGAATTGTTTCAATGGAACGTTTTTGATGTGAAATAACAGTAATATTCAACTCAGTCGAAGTAACAACCAGCCGAAAATACGTGTTAAGTGTTATATAATAGTTATGTAAAAATTATGTAACAATCACGAAAATCATGCAAATTTCATTGATGTGACGTAATTTTTCGGCTGTGTGATATACTCCGCTCCTTTCTGGCTGGCTTATACTTCGGCTGGTTTGATTACTCTCGAAATATTAAAACTTGCTAAGAAAAACTAACTTTTCACGAACTGATTCGATCTATGAAAAACTCAAAATAATTCAAAGTTTCATAGCTTGAATAGCTTGTTTAGAAAAATTTTCAAATTTTGAGAACCAATTCGATCTATCGAATGGCTTCAGATAATTCGAACTCTCACCGCTTGAAAGATTTCAATAGAAAAACTTAATATTTTTGCCATCCGATTCGCTTTAAGAAACAACATAATTTTTTCAAAGAGCCATTTGCTTGTATAATTTGCTTAGAAAAACTTTCAAACTTTGAGAACCAATTCGATCTATCTAATAGCTTTAGATAATTCAAACTTTTACCGCTAGAATAGAAAAGCTTAATGTTTTCGCAATTTGATTCGCTTTATAAAATGACTTCAATTTTTCAAAGCGCCATTGGCTTGAATAGCTTGCCTAGAAAAACTTATTCTTTTCGCGAACCGATTCGATCTAGGAAATTCAAAACTTTTCAAACCGATTTACAATATTGCTTTACTTGAAAGTTTTAGACGTTTCATAGATTGACTAGCTAGATCAGAACAGCAACTAACTTTTTTCGGGGCGATTGATTATTGGAGACAAGCTTACTAGCATTTTTTAAATTATTGAGAGAAAAATTAATGCCCTATTTAGCTGCTATAAGGCAAAATGGTCAAGAGGGATCATTGAGCTCAACGTTTAAGAAAGATGAACTCGATTCAAGTTCCAGGTTAGACAGTATCTGCTCATTTTGCTCAAAATTTTGCGTATACAGATTCATTTCATTCTGAAACGAATCAACTTAAAGCAGCAACATCCATGCTGAGAAAACTTATAATTTTAGAAAACAGACTCGCGCTATGACACAACTTGAAATATTTTATAGCTGGAATAGCTTGCTTAAACCAAACCAGCCTACAAAATTTTTTTAAAAATATTTCTCAGTTTCAAAGTTTGAATAGCTTTTTCAAAGTTTGAATAACTTTTTGCGAACCGATTCCGTCTATGAAAAAAATCGAAATTTTTCAAAGTATCATAGCTCTAGTTTTTTTTAAAAGATCCAACACAGAATAACTCACAGCTAGCCTAAAATGGTGAGTCAAAAATGTTTTCTGTAAAACTTTTTGAAAATAATTTTTTTTTTGAAAATTGATTATTCCAATTACAATTTCTGAAAATACCAGATTTTACAAATTAAATTTGGTTCTTCTCGTCTATCAAGGTTGTTTCTTTTCTCGTTTTCAGCACTATCAGAGACTGCAACACTATATTCAAGCAAATCAGCGAAGCTCCAATGATTGAATAAATATGAGGCGTTTTTTCCATCAATAAAACTTGCAAAATATAACACAAAACAATACTCAAACATTTCACCGTAAACGAAATTGATGGAAATGATAATTGAGACCCTTTAAAACCTAAAAAAGCGTTAATTGTAAAGCAAGCACAGCCTAAAAGAAGGAATGTTTTGTTTTTAAAGTCGCAAACTGGAACTGCAAAATTCGTTTTGATGACAAATGGCAATGGCATTAGACAACAACCTAATCGTGAAGCGAAAACTAACAAACCAGTGTTAACAGATGACCATTGTCGCATGATAATATAAAACAGGGCATTTATTAACCCAGATATAAGACTTAAACTAAACCCGAATAACCCGTGGAAGTTGAACTGAGTGTCTATTCTCGTTTCTGATTGGCTAATAAATACGAGTCCAGTTAAGCCAATCAGCGAGCAGCAAATTGTCAGCCAATGAGGTTTTAGTCTGAGGAGAAAAAATTCAAGCACTAAACCGAAAGCGAAACTGGAATAATAATGAATAGATGTTGAATCGCCAGCCGTTAAATAATCATAAGAAAGGACAAGTAAATAATTTGATAAACTAGATAAAATAGCTCCATTTAAAACAATTTTTCCGACCAAATGCCAATTTAACTTTCGTTGATTGAAAAATAAAAACCAAGCGATACCTGTAACTAATCCGAAAACGCCCATAACCAAAGTTGAAAAATGGCCCCCCATTTCAGAATATTGAATGGAAACATAAGCGAAAGCAACTACAGTTGAAGCAAGGACTGTGCAACAAATTCCAAGAAAATTGTTTTTCCGAGAACTTCCAATTTGATTTGAATCTGAAGCTGCCATTCTGTGTAATTTATTGTAGATAAAGCAAAAGTAAGGAAAATATTGATCAACGGCGACAACTACTGAAAAAAAAATAATTGACTCTTCTCACACCAAACCCCCCCCCCCCCCCTTCGAAAGTATTTGGTTTGCAAACGAGCGAATTTTTACAACCAACAAGTGTTATAAAGACCAAGTTAACATGCTCCAAAGCAGTTTAGGGGGGGGGGAGATGTTAATTATTGGCTCTAAGTGAGAGTTTTCAGAAATCAGAATCGATTGAGCAAATTTACATGCAGCACTTAGCAAATTTAATCTGAATTAAATGCTTGAATGCTGGGGTGGAAATATCTTACCTGTGTCTATCTGGAGTGAGGATTTTAACTTGATCCCGTGTGTTACATAAAAAAATTTATGGACCAAGTTAACATCCTCCCCCCTAAACACGTTTAGGGGGGAGGATGTTAACTTGGTTCTAAGTTGGGAATTTTCAGCCAATCAGAATCGATTATTTTACATGCAGCGCTTAGGAAATTTAATTTAATTTAAGCGCTGGGGTGGAGGATCTTAACTTGGTCTATTTATTTGGGGGGGGGGGGGGTTCCGGAAAAAGAGCCGAATAATTAAGCAGGCAGAAGAACACATTTGTAATGAAAGCAAAACCTTTAAACTGGTAGTATATAAATTCTTGCGCCGCGGAATTTAGTCAAACAGCGCGGTTGGCGGCGTTTTATTCAAATGGTTCAATGCTTTGGTGGTCTAAAGAAGTTGTATATATGCACTTCAAATAATCCAGTTCGAGAACGCCTTATCACCGTTTGGCCAATATCGTTTAGTTTCTTGAAGTATGACTTGGCAATCCTATACATAAACTGAAACATGTAAAATAAAACGCGGTTATGTAAAATATAACGTGCGTTACGAATATGAAACCTGCTAAGTATAACTAAAACGAGGAGGTTTCGTCAATTAATCAAAAAGTACAAAAATGAAAAAGCTAAGTAAAAAATGTAACAATATCGGAACGAACGTTGAAAATAATTTCTACTTCGTCGAAACTTCAAAGTGGTGGCTTTTTAACTTTAAACCCTGGATATCTGGATTAACAGGAGTTTTTGAGCCTTTTCTGCAGCTTCTGGGATTGTTCACAATCATTGAATCTTCTCGTCGCGATTGATTGTTTTTCTTTTGCCAGTTAAATAAGCAGGCATAATCAAATAAAAACATCGTTTTGTTTGGTGCATACGAGCTGTAAGCGTGCTAAACCTATTTTTAAAAAAATCAAATTAATAAATTTGACTATTGTCAAAGGTAAACCGTGTTCTAGGAACTATTTAAGATTTTATTTGCTTAAGTTTTAATTTGGCAAATTTGGTAATTTGAAAAAAAATTGGGAGAATTTACCTTCGGTAGCGAAAATTTTATCAATTGGTGAAGGTTTAACTGCGAGCACGCCTATGGATCTCGGGTATTTTCGCTGTAATAACCTTTCTCTAGAATTTGAAAATGTCTTCAGTTTATCGATATCCGAGTTCGTTTTCGCAGTAATCGCTAAATGAAATTGCTCACTCCAATGGCTCTTTGGTGAGGTTCCGGAGGCTCAGAAATTTGGCTCAGGAATTTGGTCAGAAAGATGGAATCCATCGTAGACTCGGATTGCTGATTGACTGCGCCATTAAAGCAATGTTGTTCTAACTTATGGAAAGAAGAAAACAAGTTAAAAATAAAAAATGTTGGTGTGGATTTGAGAGCATTTAGATCTGGTTTGGGTGGAGCTTCTGAGTGTTTTCTTCAAGTTCTCGGATTGTCCAGAGCTTTAAGAACCACTGAAAATTCTTGTCGGGATATAAGTTTTCCTCTTGCCCGCTAAAGGCGGTAACAATAACTAAATAAAACAAAATGAACCTTTAAGGACTTCCATTTGCCAAAAGTAAGGGTTTTCACAAGCTGTTGAAAAACTTTTTCGGAGGAAATACTTTCCTTGGCGCAAGGATTATCCAGAGGGGAATGTTTAATTGAGGATGCTTTTGGATCTTTGGTTATGTCGATGTAAGAACCTTTCCTAAAGATCAGTGGTGTTTTCAGGTTATCGAGATCCAAATTCTTTTTTTTTCAAAATTGCTAAAGGAAGTTGTGCACTCCACTTAACTTTGGTATTGGGAATTTTAACAATATCGTTTGGCCAGAATTATGCAATTTCAGCACAGAAAGATGGAACTTAAGACATCACAACAACCCTTTCCGTTTTAGCCCCCCTTGCCCCTATAAAAGCAATTTCTTTTTTTAATTTTATTTTATTTTATTTTTTATTAACAATTATTGTTTTCAGTTTGTTTTACGTATCTCTGTGGATCCTTTTGTCATGAAATTTGACTCGTAGATTAGTTACACCAAAATAAACACATTAAATCTACATATATTAATAATTGCGCCCAAAAATTTTTGTGTATATCTGGTTGATGACGGTAGAAAAGCCAGAAAATATGTTTCTTAAACAAAAAATATTCATTATTTTGTGGTTAGATGATTCTTTTTATCGCTATGAGAACTGTTGGATTTTTTCTATTGGTAAAGAACCAGCGCGCGTTTTTTTTGTCATCTTCAGTGAACGTTGTTGGCACGTTCTCTCTATTTGCAACTTTTTTTTTAGGTTAGAATGAAATATTGGTAAGAAGAAACCTGAATAAATTCTTGCCGCATTCATGGAAATACAGTTTAGTATAAACATACACATCAACCAATATATGAGCGTGGAATATACTAGCCGCGACGTATTCAGCTACATAAAATGAGCGCTGTAGATGAATATACAAAAAAGATTATCTTCTATGTTGAAATAAGAGTGCATTTGCGGGTCTAGGACAACAAGCCGACGGGACTTCAAGCCGAAGGGACTTCAGACCGAAAATTGAACTATACAAGCACCTCAAATCATTATTTTTTCATCTCTAAAACGTTGCTTTTCAAAATCTTAGGCTAGTTTAGTCCATAATAAGCGTTATTTATGACAATGAATCACTTAGGATTTGCATTAGTTAATAACATCAGCCGATTTTTGAAACGCATAAATTATAAACAAGAAAAATACCTTCCACCGTGTTTTATTTTTCAACTTTCCTAAACATCACTTGGAGGCTTAAATTTTATGAAAACGCTAATAATTATCAAATAAAGATCAGGAAATTGAGAAATTCTTCAAAAACTTTTCAAATTAACCTTATTTCATGACTTAATGCGAAAATTTTCGGCTTGAAGTCCCTAATTTTACGATTCGGCTTGAATTCCCGTCGGCTTGATGTCCGGCACCCTGCATATGCGACTGTTTTTATAAATCGGAGACCGATCGTTTAGCAGACCAATCTTTTAGCATAAAAAGTGAAAAATGACTCTTTTAGCAGGCATAAAAAGTGAAAAATGACTCTTTTAGCAGGCCAAGGTAGTAAAGTGATGATACAACAATGCCGAAAAAGGCGGAAACATTTCAGAATAATTTAAACGCATATTCTAAAATTTTGGCGCCAAAATGTCTGCAACTGCAAATTAAACAATCATTTTGGCGCTAAAATGTCTAAATTGCATTTTTTTTTTCGCTCAAAATCTTAAAATGGCAGTTAAGATGGTACACGTTCGCCGTTTAGTTTTTGATTGCCGCACTTAATATGTTGACATTTGTTCAAATTTTTGTCACTTTTGAAAACATTTTCCCTTTCGGCACTAATTCGCCACTAATTTTTTTTCGGCACTGTTGTACTTCATTACTGTTTTACTGCCCACTCAGTATTGTTGGCTAGACTATGTGGTAGCCAGTTTGTACATCGGCTAATTTGTACCCTAACCAATTTTATTTCCTGGCTTCAATCGTATGACAACTTTACATGTTTTTCCTTAATCTTTTTCTCAATAAAATGACAACTTTTTTTCCTTCAATCGTCAATTGAAGTTCTCTTTTGCAAAAGGAACTAAATCCCTGCAATGATGACAAATTGGACAGCTCAATTTTTTTGAAGTTATTGCTCATACATAGCCGCATCCAGTTTCAAGCGTTAATGATTAATTATGTAACGATTTTAGTACCAGTTTTACTAAAATTGAGAAACAATCGATTTTAATCAATTGATAATCGAATATAACCTCTCTTTTTAAAAAAATCAAAATATAATTAATTATAATCCAATATTATAATCAATTTATTTTTTCGGCTTTTTTAAATACAATTAAAAACAATTATAATTGATTATAGTACATTATTTTTAATCAAATTTCGAGTTCATTAGTTTTGCACAAAACTCCATTATAATCGTTTATAATTGATTATAATCCCTTTTGTTTTTCCATTTTGTCATCGACGTTGCCTCTAATTTGCTTATATTTCATGCTTTTTGTACAGATTGGTTCCTATGAAAAATCAAAAAAAAATTTTTAAAAGTTTTTCAATCAATTCCAGTTTATAAGGTTTTTTTTTTTCATTTCTTCCCCATTAGAGTTGTTTTGTGATGCTTATTTCAAGCTTTTTTAATCACCAAAACATCAGCAAATTGATTTAGTTTCATGATTGATTCGGAAGACTTATTTTTCATCTACCGCGGGAATCTCTCCACTAATGTGAAAGGATCTCTATGAAACTTTTGTTTCGTGGTACAACTTTGTGTTCAGATGAACCAAAGTGTTCAGGAGATCTCTCTTTTAGATATTTTCTTATTGACACAAAAATAATAACCCAAAAGATATATTTCGACCATAGTTTTCAATTGACAATTTTTGGTAAATAAGAGATTACAATCGATTATAATCGATTTTAATTGATTGTAAGGATTTTTTGAAAAAACTATAATCAATTATAATCGGTTATAAGAAATTATAATCTATTGGAAAAAATCACGAATATAATCATTTATAAATCCTTTAAACACCTAATTTTGGTAATTATAATCAAATATAATTGTCAAAAAATGGTCATAATAATCCGTTATAATCGATTATTTACGCCTAAACTTGGATGCGGGTGCGCAAAAGATATCAAAAATCTCTTTAACCAAATACCCCTCGGGTACCTATTAACAAATATACCCCTATAACGGAACAAAACTGCTCGTATCAGGGTGAAGCCATGAATGTTCCGACAGCCTTCTAAGTTTTATGGAGCAGCAAAAGCCTTAAAAAATTTAAATGTAATAAAAAAAATTGAATTTTTTTTTCAAAAATTGGAAATTTTTTTAAAGAAAATCATCCCCTCACACGCCATATAAAGTACAAAAAGATAATTTTCGCACCTTGTAACAAATCAAATATGGCAAAATATACTTTTTTCAACCAATTTGGAACAATTTCTAAGACGGATTAAATCTCCACTTACGCACAAATAGCGCGAAATATATCGCGCGTTAATTTTCCAGAATCGGCCAAAATGGCAATCTTTAAACCCCCATAACTTTACAAAAAATGATCACAGGTGGAATAAATTTTCAAATTTAAGCTCAGGACAACAATAGTTTTTGAATGATATAAAAATTTTTGTCAAAAATGGCTAGTTAAAAAGTCGAACTTTGTCTGAACAAAAAAAAACCCACCCCGAGCACAAATATTCGAAATTTTGTACGTAGTGAAAATTTTTTACCATATGAAACTTTTTTACCTTGTGACAAATCCCCCCACCCATTTGCAAAAGGGGGGGGATAGAGTTAATGAGATCCGATATCAGTTTGAGGTTGTAGCTACTCTGCGTAAGACGATTTAAAGTATTCAGGCTAGTTATCAGTTGCAAGCACTTTCTCTCCAATCTCATTTAAGCATAATTCTTACGGTTTAACGAAAACTTTTACAGTGTTACGTTTGAAGATCAAATATAACAAAAATAAATAAGTCAAATCTAAATCAAGTGCGATTCAATACAAAAATTCAAACAGCCCAGGTTAAAAAAAAATATCTCAAAGACGAGAGTGCAAAAATAGTAGTGTTCTTCCACGTAAAAAATTTTCAACATGGAGTCTTAAGCTTTTTCACTTGATCGCCTCACTCCGCATTTAGAAAAAAAGGTTGTGAATTATTTTTGATGTTTAAGTTTTGAACTTTTAATAATTAATAAGTTTTATTAAGGATCTTACGTCTTATGACAAAAAATTATTCGAAACATTGGAAGTCTTAGAAGTAAATGTCAGCAAAACGTTTTTGAACATAGCGTGCGGAAAATGATTTGGAAAACGAGCATTCTACGATATTTTATTCAACAAGTTTTCTTTGAGGCTTCGCAAATTTATGAAAGAAACTTTAGCCTCACAGGACCTAAATGAATTGCTCTGACCTTGACGCAAACAAAAGGTTATGGAAAATTCATTTAGATAGAACAAGATTTCTCGTATCAGGGTGAAGCCCTGAATGTCCCGACTGCCTTTTAAGGTCTATTAAGGAATTTTTTTTCTAATTGGATATTTTTTTGCGAAAATCATCTCCCCACACGCCATATAAAACACAAAATGATGAAGTTCACTCCTATTAACAAATCAATTATGGCAACCAAACAAACTTCTTTAAACCATTTTGGAACAATTTCTAAAAAGGATCAAATTTACGCTTACGCGCCAATAGCGCGGAATATATCGAGCGTTAAATGTTTCAATTTGGCCAAAATGGCATATTTAAACCCCTATAACTTTACAAAAAAAGATCACAGGTGATTTTTTTTCAAATTTAGGCTCAGGACAACAATAATTTTTTAATGATATAAAAAGTTCCGTCAGATATGGTTAGTTAAAAAGTCAAAATTTGTCTGAGAAAAAAACCACCTCGAGAACAAATACTCCGTTGCTTTCGTTACGAAATTCAGAACAGCAATTTTTTCACCGATTAAAAATTAAGATTTTCCAGATCTATAAGATCTCGGATTGATCTGCCAGTGATATTCAGTATTTACTTTTGGCAGTGCAACAATGAAAAAAAACTCACTGAAAGTACTGAGTCAGGGGGCTACTCTAGCGAAGGCAGAGAAGCAGAGAGTATAAAAGCAGAGAAGAGAAGGCAGTACTGATCAGTACTTTTTATGAACCGTTCCCATTCCCTTATCAGATTTCCATAGTTCTGATAATAGCAAAAAAAATGAAGACGCACCTATAAAAAAAACTTATCTACTCTCATACTCTACCGTTCGATCCCAACCTATCTTTTTGTTTTTTAAATGCTACATCTGCCTTTCTCCGCGTAGGACCAATTGTTTTCTATAGATAATATTCAAATCTCAGGTCAGTTTGTTATTATAT